TGGTGTCCCAGTTTCTAATGATGGACTCACTGTCTTCCCTTGGATCAGCATCTCTCTTCATAGACAAGCCTTACCGAGGGTGTTGTTCTTGATTCTTCCAAGACCTTGAGTTCCAAAGCATTTTTCTCCTCTCAACACTCTGACTCATTATTCTATTTTACTGAAGTACTTAGAATGTGAGCCTTTGGGAAGAGCTCTATACAATTATATAAATGAATAGGCACATTTATTTGAAATGTTTTCAGATTTCTTAGAATGAAATTTTATGTTCTTTCCTTGGCACTAAGTTCTTAAAGTGGGTAACAGTCCTGGAGGATATCCTTGCCCAATTGAGGGGTGTTTATAAGGCAATCTAAAGACCAGCCGATAGATAACAGTTCATTTTGCCAATAGTTGTTGAGCACCTACTCCACGCTGGGCGCTGGGCACTGTGCTGAGAGCTGGGTACACAGCTGTGAGGAAAACAGACACAGCCCTACCTTCAAAGATGACACAATGTAGTAGAGAAGAGAAAAGAAAATAAGTCAATAAACTCAAAAATAATCATAAATGAGTGAGTAGTGCTATGAAAGAAATGAACAGGAAACAATGATAGGCAATAATAGGAGGGAAACTTCTTAGATGAGAGAAGGCAGAGGAGGCTCTCTGAGGCCTGAAGGATAAGGAGTGAGTGGTACAGGAACCAGCTGGATGGAATAGCATAGATGAAACCTGGAGGTAGGAAAGAGGTTCATGTGTTTAACAAACTAAGTGGAGCAGCGAAATGGAGAGGAGAGATAGAGGGAAAAGAAAGAGAGTTGGGGTCATGTACAGAGTTTGGATTTTACATTAAACATAGCGAAAATATAGTCACTTTGGAAAACAATGTGACAGTTTCTTTAAAAGTTAAATATAAATTTACTATATAGCCCAGCAATTCCACTACCATTTACCCAAAAGAAATGAAAACATGTGTTTACACAAAGCCTTATACATGAACATTCATAGCAGCATTATTTATAATAGTCCAAGACTGGAAAAAAAATTAATTGCCCATCAATAAGAGCATGGACAAATAAATAGTGGTATGTCCATAAAATGGATTACTGCTAGGCAAATAAAAAAGGAACAGACTACTATTACAAGACAGCCTTGTGTTGACTAGTGCCTACTTGGGTGTATATCATTATGAAAATTCACTGAATAGGCAAAATCAGATTTGCACATTTTATAGTTTGTAAATTATATTTCAACATTGAAAGTGTAATGGGAAGTTGCTGAAGAGTTTTCAAAGCAAAGAAAAAATGTAATTTGATTTGTTTTTTACAGATTCCTCAGATCACTTTTTGAAAACAGATTTGAAGGGAGTTTAAGAACAAGTAGGGTGATCAGTAAAGGGGTTAATGCCATAGTCCAAGAAAAAGATTCTGAAGGCTTAGAATACTGAGGAATAACAGAAGCCAATAGATAGACT